AATGAAAATAATGTTAATTATATATATATATATATGTATATGTATATATATATTCCTGTTAAATGTCTGAATACAGACCATTTTAGGCCCAAATTGTTCTCATCACTTGGATCTTTGTGACATGTTATTTTAAGAAAAAAATAGGTTCTGTGGGAACTGCTTTGCTACTAATTATCCTTACTACATTAGACAAATTGAATCATAAAACTTCCAAAACAAATGAAGAAAGTTGACTAGGTAAAACTGGAAGTGGGAGAGTGAATCCTGATTCAGGGCAATGCTATATGCACAAAAGAATCGTACACACTTTACACACAGTTAATTGTTCTAATTATTCTGAAATGATTCGAGAAAGTGATTGTTTCTAACCTAGATTCTAACGATGATAAAACCTCTGATATATAGATAGATTTATATGAATTAGTCCATATCATGCATCTTCCAAAAACCAAAATGTAATCTTGCTTAAAGTGATTTCAGATTATTTTAGAATTCTTCATTCTGTAGGTAATAAAATTGAAGACATGCATGTTTATGTCTAGTCTCAAAGCCAATTCTTTTGTTTTTATTATTATTAATTTTGTCATTCAGCAGCCATATGCCATCTATATAGGATTTATAGTAAATATGCTAAGAAATTTGTATATAAAGTGGGTAATGGTCCTAATGGAAGAGCTAGTGACATCTTCCACTCACAACCGAGCCAGATTGTTAAGTACTTTCTATCTTATCATTTTAGGGCCAAATTGTTCTAATAATAGGATTGGTTTTATTGGTGGCCGTTGAGGAATGATGGAGATTTGATCAGTTGGTATTTTGACGTTTTATTTCAAGGAAACTTAGATTATGTTAAAATTAATTGTTACTATTTGTTTTCGTATTTGAGAAGTGTCAAAATTTGATATCTAATCGGTGGAATTAAAAATCCGAAATTTTACCAATAAATCATAAGAAGGGCAGCAACTAATTGTTATTTGTAACTGTTTATCCCGCACATTAGGCAAATTAAAGCATAAAATTGTTTAACTGTTGAGTAAAACAGAAGAGGAAAGTTGGCTCTTAGTAACTGGAAGCATGACCCTGAGATAATTCATTAGTAAAAGGCTAAACCACTAATGCTAAGAAATTTGTATATCAAGTGGGTAATGGATGTGCTAATGGCATCTTCCACTCACAACAGAGCCTGAAAATCAAATGGTTCCCTTTCTATTTTGTGTTTGACCTTATTATATCAAACCTAAAAAAAACAATTAGAGGAAAATTTTTTTCATTAAACAAATTCTGACAAAAGCTCCATATTAGATCAAGCTATTGACATCCACAAATTGTTGCAAAGATGTAGACAGCACTTCCCATTCTTCTCTCAATTGTCTATTATTCCTATTCTTTTTCTGAAAGAAATTCCAATCTCTCCCCCTTATTTATATCCCCTGGAGGTTGTTAAACATCCAAACCATGGGTGATAGGCTGCGCCTGGCAGTTGGGGTCATGGGTATACTACTCTACTTCCTCCATTGCTCAATATTTCCTAGTTTTACTCTCTGGATTTTGTATGTTTTTGGAAGAAAACTTAGTTGATATAAAAGAATTTGCATGGTCTTCCTGCAGGCAATGCATCGTCTTTGTTGCTTTATGCAGCACCAATGTAATGTCAACATTCACTTCGTAGCTTTTATATCTAGTAATTTTATTTCCATGGAGATGCACAACATGATGGAAATTTAATTATGCATTTGATCATTCAACTTGAACAAGTATTTGTTGTTTTTGTACTGTGTGCCAGATTGACATTTTCCAGGGTGATAAGGAAAAGAAGCACTGAGGAATTCTCTTGCATTCCTTACATCGTTGCATTGCTAAACTGCCTCTTTTATACTTGGTATGGATTGCCTGTCGTGAGCTACATGTGGGAAAATTTCCCCGTGGTTACAATCAACGGTTTAGGGATCATATTAGAGTTATCCTTCATCTTCATATATCTTTGGTTTGCACCAACCAGAGGAAAGGCAAGCTTCTTAATCCTGCTTTACAAGTAATTATCTTGTTACATCTTTTGTGGTTCTGAATAAAATGGGAAAAAAAAACAGGTACTCCTTCCTTCTACATCATGAAGATAAATGAGGATTGATGTCTATATCCTTTCATGCATGAGTGCTTTCTTGCATAAAAAACTCATGGCTATAAATTAAAGAAGGAACTAACAATTATGTAGCTTGATGAAAGTGCAGATTAAGGCTGGTGTTATAGTGGCAACAGTTATCCTAGTGTTTTCTATCACTGCAATCATCTCGGCTTTTGTATTCCATGATCATCATCATCGCAAAGTTTTTGTTGGAACTGTTGGGCTGGTTGCCTCTGTGGCAATGTATGCCGCTCCACTTGTGATTGTGGTAAGCCATCTTTTTCCTCTCCGCATGAGCTAACATGGGAAATCTCCCCTCTATGATCCCCTTCAAGGAAAGAAATATAAGTTTTTCATCTCGATCGTGTCTTTTTGGTGTTGTAATTGAATTCTGTTTCTAATTGCAGAAACAAGTGATAGTGACAAAGAGTGTGGAATTCATGCCATTCTACTTATCCTTTTTCTCATTCCTCGCTAGCATACTTTGGCTGGCTTATGGACTACTGAGTCATGATCTCCTTCTTGCGGTTTGTATTGCCATAAAAATTTGGACTTTATATTTTGACAAAAGAGTCTCTGGGTTGGAACTCAGAGACTCTTTATCCTCGGACCCGACTTTTCCTTTTATCTGTTAGATAGAGAATGGGTTGAAGATGATGGGATTCGAACTCTCACCTTACATGTTTAATTCCGACCTGACTTTATTACGACTTAACTGACAGCTCATTGTTGTTTTGGGGAAAGAATTTGTATTGACAAAGAGAACAACTTAGCTTCTGTTTTTGTAACTGACTTTTTAATTATGGCAGTCTCCAAATCTGGTTGGTCTCCCCTTAGGCATCCTGCAACTTGGGCTGTACTTCAAATATAGGAAAACCGGAATTATGGAATAACCAAGCAAATGGGATTTCGAAGAGAGTAAACAGGAGAAATCCAAACATATCCAGCTCGTGACGAACGAAAATTTCAATGGAAAGAGCTGAAGAATACGGCTTAATGTATGATCGGAAATCAGAATCCTTTCCCGTCCAAGAAGATATCTGTCTCTATGGTATAAATTTCCGATGGACCTAGATTTCTGCTTAAGTTCAAGTAGTTCGAACATTGTATATCTATATAGTTAGAATTCAATGAAATGGTTATAACACATTTTCAGATTTTCTCGTCCGTGACAGGGGAAGCAATAAAAATTAGCCTTCAGAGAGGCAGTGCCAGCATCTTAAGTTGTAAAAATGGAACGTTCCAATTAAAATCATTCAAACGAAGGGTCCAACACTCTACCAGGACGGCATCTAATTATGCAAAATGCACATATAAGGTGAGGCTCACATAATTAGTCACTCTAACCTGTTAATCAAAGCCATGGCTAAAATAGAATGCAAAAACTGGACTTAAGATCGTAATAAACATTCCTTCTGATTAGACGCTTCTACTTCTGCATTAAGCACAAAGAAAATCCAGGCGCATATACTACTGCCAAATGCAAAACTCTCCAGCAGTACATTGCTTTAAAAGTTCAAAACAGCACACACAAAAGGGGAAAAAGAGAAAAGGGGAACTGATATTCGGCATTGATGCCCCCATCAATTGATCCAAATTCTCAGCAGGTTGCTGGCCACCTGAGTTCATAATAACTGCTGTTAATCACCATTACCAATAACTATCAATTTTCGGCACGAACTGCAAGTAACAAAGCTTTATCCAAATAGTCAATAGGACACTTGACTTCTTTTCTATTAGGTATTTACAGACAGAGAAAGTAGAAAGGGCAGCCTACTTTTAATTGGATTATTATAGGAGTTAGGGTATATGAAAGAGACGTGGGGCCTGCCCCAAAACAACCTTAAAATACAGACCAGCTGTTACCTCTAGAGACAACGATCAACTATGAACATCTGTTATCATGTTAATCATTGTCATCAGACATTTGAACCATTTCTTTATTCTGTATGAAGCGTATTGTGACAAAAAATATGCCTTTAGAAATTCTACAATGACAAATGCAGGGCAAATGTCACTGACACAATATGCCTAATGATTCACTGCTACTGGAGCCAAATGAAAAGTCAATTCAAAATCTGATTTTTTTTTTTTTGGGGGGGGGGGGGGTGGGGTTCCGCAAAATCTTAGGTTATAAGCACTATGTTGCCAAGGTATACAGGCCACTAATTTTGGGAATAAAAGGATTGTGTTCCATATATCGAGTATAGGATACACAATTTCAATGAGACAGAAAATATATAAAAGGAAGACAAGACAACCAAAGATAAGGTGTCTTGGCATGAAAGAATGCTGCAAACCTTATTTTCTTGCCTTGATTCTGTCCTTGTTCTCATAAGTAACAATGCTCCTGAATTTGGTTTCCATGGGAGAGTGGTGGGGAAGAGACCTTGTCACAGCATTTCTTTCCCTGAATTCGTCTCAACTTGTCCGTCAAAAATCAGTTGTGCATCTTCAATTCAATCCTACCCTTCGAATAAGTGACTTTGAAGCATTTATAAAGTGCGATGTGTTATTCCATCATAGATTCTCTCAGCATCATCAATAGCTGCAGAAATCACATTGACGATGAAAAATTACAGCAAGATTAAGCACTTCCTTCCTACAAGCTCAAAACTCTCGAACCCGCATTTGAGAACAAGCCCAATCTGTTATGCTTCCATTCTCCTAAGGAAATACATCTCAATTCTCAACTATCCGTTCGAAACAGAGAGGAAGAGAAACTCAGAAAAGCAGTTGAAACGCCACGTTTAACCAAGCAGTTCCGTTTACTCAAAGGACTGCCACGTGCCATAGAAAGAAAGCTTCATGCATGAGGACACGTACACACTCAGCCAAATCTCTCTCGTACTCTCAGACCACTTCTTTAAATCTCAATAAAATGTAAAAATTGATCAACAACAAGAAGCAGAACAGATTACGCTAAAAAAGAGAAAGTAAAGAGAAGATCTCTATTTTTTCTCAAAAGAATTTTGATTCACTGTTTTGGGGAAAAAAAACTTGAATCGTTGCATTAGAATCATGGTAAAGCTAGCCTCAGCAAGAGAGTGTCGAACGTATGGGCCACGGCTGGCTCGAAGCAGGGCCGAGTACATAAATGCAGGGCTACATTTGTTTGCTACAGTTGTGTTAGTTTGTGGTTTTACAGCACAGTTCTCATGGGAACCCAGATCGGGTCTTTTTGTAATTCTTATAGCACTAGCTCTTATAATTTTGGTTAACGCCCATGATCTTTTGGCACATCTTGCGGGCATTGATTATCGGTTTTCTTTGATGGGATTCGATACACAGCTTGCCCTTGTGGAGTTCTCTGTTCCAGTGGTTCAGGTCTTAGGTTCACAGCTTTTCTTTCTAGGAATTCTCTTCCTCTTAATTCAGGTAGGGTATTTTATACCTTTAATTAGCCTTCCAATCCCTCAAAAATTTTATTTTGTAGACACAATTTGGTCTCTCGGTACATTTTCAAGTGAACTTTCTTTTGATTGCTTAATTGCAGGCAGAGAAAGGGTATGGCTTTTTAAAATTGGAGAAGCATGCATTGCGGATGCTTATTGCTGGCCCTGTTTTATGGGTTCTTGGCTCCATCCATAACTCGTGTCAAATCTATGAGCGAGCCGACGGACATGTCCAAATCTTGCAACAGAGTGTCCACATCCCGTTTTTGATCGGTAGTTTGTTGTTCTTGGTGGGAGCTATTCTCAACAGCCACGAGCAAGCTGGAATTATTCATCATGGGTTACAGTTACTGGTAAGTTCGTGAAAGAAACACATATATAACAGAAGCAATTAACTCTCCCTGGTTTCTTCATTTACTATTGTATTTCCACTTAATTATGAGGCAATTGTGAATTTGTGATAAACCAAATTAGTTGGTTCATATAGGGTAAAACTTGGGTGTGCTTAGGCATTTGTGGCAGCCTAATGTTTTTCATTGGGGGATTGACGAATGTGGTAAAGGTGTTCAAGATGCAGCAGATCAACGGGCTAAGGCTTGAGAAATTGCGTGGAGGAGCACAAGATAGACTGATTCAAGGGTGGGAAGGTCAGGTCCCTCTTATCATAGAGGAACGGTGGAGAAAAATGGAAGTTGAAGAGATAAAGGCGGCTGCTGCTTCCCCCGCCTCCACTCCTTACAAGGATGTGCTTCTTGGTGGAACTTGACTACTATTATTATTATTATTATTATTATTAATGGAGAGATAATCAGTGATCAGTTTCTTATTTCTGGTTTAGTTATTCCATCATTTGCTAAATATATTCATTCTTCATTTGCTTTTACTGCTTATAGATATAATAATAGTTGATTTAATTTATCTATTTTCATGCTTTTTGTTTCCTCTATTTTTCATTGATGGACCAATGAAAAACAACTAATAGTATTAGATTTGAATGGTTGGTTTTCATTAATTTTTTAGATTTTGAAAATGCAATTTTTAAAATGAAAGGGGGAAAAAGGAAACTTTAATTATTTTTGTACATAAATTATATTATGAAAATAAAAAAGGAATTAAGAGTTATAAGTATTGAGATTTTAAAATATTATTTATTAAAAATAATTATATGAATTAATTAAATAAATTTTTTATTATAATTATATTTGATTTGGTTAGAAAAAACATTACAACTCGAATATAAGATTTTTCCTATGATTTCATTATACCATTAGTGTTTTATCATTTATTTAAATCAACTCAGATAATTTATAAATATACTATTAAGTAAATGTAACACTTATTTAAATAAATATAATTATTTCATATAAAGTAATATATTTTATTTATAAATTTAAAATATGTTATTTTATATTCAAAATAAAAAAACTTTTAGTTCTTTAATTCTCAATAATTTCTTCCAGATATTTCTATGTTCTACCACTACACTGGCAGTCTGGCACCAGGAAGTAAAAGCGGAAAACGCCGCCTTGGTTAAAGTACGCGGCCTCGGCTATAATACGCTAGTTTCGTTTTAAGCTAACATCATAGGATGATCAATGCATCTGTATCACGAATCGATATTTAAATTTCGAATATGTGTGGTTTCGAGATTTTTTTTAGATTAATTTTTTTATTACGATTCATATTTTTATAAGATATTATTCGTTTTGATTTTTTGATTTCACGATTTTATCTTACAAAAAATACTTCACAAAAAAAAAATAATGTGAACTTTTTTATATTCAAATGACCTTTTTATTATGTTCGATTTAAAATTCATGATTTTATTCATGATTTTTTTTAAGTCCGTCTCGTTAAACGAAAAAAAAAATAATAATAATTCAAAATTAATAAATTATAACATTCAATTCAATCGGAATATTTTTTTATTTGATTTAAATTAAATTTATATATTAAATTTGAATTAAATTTTAAATATAAATATAAATAATTAAAAAAATAAATCGAGTTATATGTTTTTATTAATTTTATATATTTTATATTTTTATAAAATAAAATAATTATTTTATATATAAATTTATTTAAATATATTAAATTTTTTATTCAAATAATATATAAAAATAAAAAAAATTTAAAAATCAACAGACGAAAGTGAATTAATAAAATTTAATTTAAATCAGATTAATTGTAAAAAAAATAATTTAATTATAAATTAAATTTTACAAATTTATAATATTATATATTATCCGAAACCGAATCCATATAATTTTAACAGTTATCACCCCTTAAAAAAACAATTCCCACGCCTAAACCGCGATAAGAAGAAAAACGAAAAAGGCAAATGCTGAAGAAAAAAGAAAATCCACGATACATTATTCTCTCCCATCCTTTTTGAAGCCCTAATTTAACAAGCAACAGAAAATTCCAACGGATTTTCTCTTTAATTTTTTTTTCAGGTTTTCTTCAACTCCTTCATTTTCCCCTTACTTACTTTGATTTCCATCAATCTATAGATATATTTCGATTTGATATTAAAACTTCGATGTTTGTTGTATTTTGAAATTTTTGGCATTTAGGGTTTCGAATCCTTTTCCTTTGGCGTAGATTTTTAGAAGGGTTATTTGCTGAAAAGATGGCCTCCGTAAGCCAGCCGCAGTTCCGTTACACTCAACCCCCATCTAAGGTGCTGCATTTGAGAAACTTGCCGTGGGAGTGTACGGAGGAAGAGTTAACCGAGCTGGGGAAGCCATTTGGTCGGGTCGTTAACACCAAGTGCAATGTTGGGGCCAATCGTAATCAAGCGTTCATTGAATTCGTAAGTCTAATCAGATTTTTTTTTTTTTTTTTTCAAATACCTTCCATCATTTCAGTAATGTTAGTAATTATATATACTTTTCGTTGTTTTAGGCTGATTTGAATCAGGCCATTGCTATGATATCATATTATGCTTCATCTTCAGAGCCTGCTCAAGTGAGGGGCAAAACGGTCTACCTGCAATATTCTAACAGGCAAGAGATTATAAATAACAAAACGACCGCGGATGTTGCCGGAAATGTTCTGCTGGTAACAATAGATGGTCAAGATGCGCGTCTTGTTTCCATTGATGTTCTGCATTTGGTAAGCAAGACCTTGGTCTTTTTGTCTTTTTGGTTTAGAAGGGTATGAAGTTAGTATTTCTAGGTTGTTATTTGATATGAGTTTCTATAATAACTAGGGTTGTGTAGTTTTTGCTCTGCTCTTTCCGGGAAAAGGCTTTTTTTGTTTTGACATGAATGTGAATGGATCAGCAGGATCATGTCAAGGGAATTACCTCCAATTGCAGCTTAGTGCTTCGGGAGAAAGAGCACATGTGTGTTTGTCTCCTTTCTCCTTTCCTTAAGCGCCTCTCTCTTCCCTACTCTTCCTTACTTTCCTCCTACTCCTACCATTTGGGATGTTTTTTCATTTCTTCTTTCATGTGCATACATCTCTCTTGGACTTTTTTAGATGCTTTGTGTCACTATGTTGTCATTTGTTCTGCTACTGACAATGCAGTTTTTATGAAGTTTGTGCTCCGTTTACAATTTTGTGCATATGGTCTGTATTATATATTTGGCAATAAAATAGATTCTGCTTGGCTGAGTGTCAAAGTCCTCACTCTTCACTGAACATGAGCAGGATAGCCTAGTCAAGTGCCTCAGTCTGTCTTGGCACTCAGGTAAAGCAATGTACTAAATGAGTGTCTTAGAGCCCTTAATACATGGTAACTTTAAGGGAGGTGCTTGCTTTGGTGCACAGGTGATAATCTTAGCAGAACCAAAGATGTTTAAGGCAAGTTTCTCCCTAAATTGGCAGTTCTTTTGCCGAAACTTTGCATAGGTGACCCCTGATTAGGTAGCCACTCATCCATGTAATAAGCACTGTTTTTTGTCCGCTTATGTCCTTTATTCACAGTATGAATGAACGACCATCATCTATAATGGCATGTGAAGATTGAAAGGTCCTTCTGCCCCTTTTGTACTCTTGCAAACATGCTTATCTCTTACTATTTTGCAATACAACATAATTTGTAATTATTAATATAGTCCTAATCATATAGGAATAATCTGAGACAGCTAGTTGTCACAATCTAGTTGTTTGTTTTAGTTTATATAACTATATGTCTATATCTGCTATTGAAACGTGAATTAATTATTTGCATAGGTATTATTCTACTAAAGAACAGTTGTTATTTGTCTTAGGGAACTATATAATCTACAAGATATAATCTTCTTTAGTGACTGATGTTGAAATATGCTTACCGTGTAACTTTATCATATAGAGACACAGATTTCTTGATATATAATTTGTATATATACATATGTCAATGTGTTTTAGAATTAGGTGTCTATCCTTAGTCTTCGGCTAGTGAGAGCTTCTTTTTGCCTGGCACCTTGCCTCATTCTAAGACCTGGTGCTTTATGCAACTCTTGCCTTTGACTTCCTAAGGAGCTTTTAACATTTTTAAATGTTTGAACAATTAATATCGTTCCATGTATCTGCAGTTTGCTTCTATTTATTGTGAAGCAGGTGGAGCTTTATCTTTTATCCTTAAAAAAGACTAGTGATTGAATAAGATTTTTTATTTCATGAAAATGTGATAAAAATTGAAATTTGAGCGGCCTGGAGTGTAAAATTGAAATTTGAGTGGCCTGGAGTGTACCTCTCTTTTGTTTGTAACGATATGAGGTTTCCTAGCACTACTTGGTTGCTTCTTTCATCCATTGTTCTTTTCATCTCATATGGCAGTCTAGTACCCTGGTACAGTCACTGATTTTCCATGGACTAATACTGTTGACCTCCTTCGTATATATGAAATGCTTAACCTATCTCTGCAATTGTTAAGCTGTATTCTGTATTCTGTTATAAGTTCTATTGTTTCTGTCTCTATGCTGAAGACATGGATATGTTGGACTTATCTCATTCCTTATTTTCTGGAAAATCTGTTTGAGGGTATTACAGATTGTTATTACTTTAAGAGTTCTTTTACCTGAAATTTTTTGGTTCATCTTTTTAAAGTAATTAATTATGCAGGTGTTTTCAGCATTTGGTTTTGTGCATAAAATTACTACCTTTGAGAAGACTGCTGGATTCCAGGTCAATAAATTAAATCTCTTCGTTTGGTTTTGGTTGATTTGCTTCAGCCTTTGAAAGTAAGATCATTTTACATACATCATTTTTGCAGGCATTGGTGCAGTTTTCAGGTGCAGAAACTGCGACGTCTGCAAAAAATGCCTTGGATGGACGAATCATCCCTAGGTGACAGTTGTATTAATTGTTAGACACGGTATTTAGTCCAACTATTATGGAGCATATAGCTGTAGACATGGTGCACTTGTATTGAGCACTTACGTCTATTGGCCTAAACTTCTGACATACTGTTTCTAGTCTTGCAATATCCCACTTTGCATTCTTTTAGCCCGTGGTAAAGTATATAGAAAACTAACTGGGTTAGAATTATCCTCCACTTGCAAAGCTTTTAATCTCACAGCTTATGTTCTTTTGTGACTATTGGTTTTGTTGCACAATATCTACTGACTGACTTTGTCCTGGGTTTTCAGGTATCTGCTTTCTGAAAATATAGCTCCTTGTACGCTTAGGATCATGTATTCTGCCCATACAGATTTGAGTGTGAAATTTCAGAGCCACCGGAGCAGGTATTCTTGATTTCTCCTCTTCATATCTGATTACTGATCATATGTTCCACATTCAAGTACATAATGGTTCTGGCACTGCTTATGAGTCAATGATTTTCATGGCAATTACTATTTGTTTGCATATCTGAACATTTCATTATCCTTTTGTTGCTTTACCATTTAGTGGACTGCTGCACTTCTCTCTTCTAGTTTTCTCCATTTCTCCATTCTATATTAATTACGCTTATTGTTTGATCACTTTTTTTTATTATTATTTTTTATTTTCAGGGACTATACCAATCCCTATCTTTCTGTTGCTCCTTCAGCTATAGATGGAAGTGGCCAGGTAAAGAACATGCTATTGACTATTGAATTTCTTAACAGCGGTTGGAATTGAATATAGTTCTCTGTGAATTATTTGCTACATACGGTTTCTTAGAGCATAAAGCCTTAGCACCTTTAGCCCTAGGTACTTCCCATAAATTTATTAAAATGTTTATATGTGATTTTTTCTCATGCAACATGTCATGTGCATCAAGATTCAACCCTTGTGAACCTGTATTTTTACTAAGAGATTAATAATATTGCTGCATTTCTAGGCTGGACTCTGTGGCGTTTGTTTACTCTTTTGCTTGTTTATTAATGAGATTCATTTGTCATCATTGCAGTTCAGTTTGGTTCTTGATGGGAAAAAACTAGAACCTGAGAGTAACGTTTTACTTGCATCTATAGAGAACATGCAGTATGCTGTTACCTTGGATGTGCTACACATGGTATTTACAATTACTGGAAGCAACTTTTGTTTGACAGTCTAGTACCTCAGCTCATACTGAGTAACTGCCATTTTCTTTTCTTTCTTGTCACCTATGTTTAGGTCTTCTCTGCCTTTGGGCTTGTTCAAAAGATTGCCATGTTTGATAAGAATGGTGGAGTGCAGGCTCTAATTCAGTACCCAGGTATTTTAAATTTGGCCTAAAATATCTGGTACTATTAGGAAGATAGGAAACAGATTGGACAGATTATTCTAGTTATCCCTTTAGATTGGACGCATTATTCTTGTTATCCCTTAAATTTAAGTATTAATGATCCCATGTTTTGCAGATGTTCAGACAGCTGTTGTTGCCAAGGAGGCCTTGGAAGGGCACTGCATATATGATGGAGGATTTTGCAAGCTTCATATCTCATATTCACGCCACACTGATCTCAGTATAAAGGTATTTGGAGTTTTGGACAATACTATTTACTAACTGTCATTTAAGTGGTTCGTTTTGATTCAATGGTTTATTGTTATTCATGTGATCATTCCAATAATACGTTCACAACTAAAGGAGGAACAAACATGGTATTCTCTGAAAGTTTTAGCAGTGGGGGGTTGGGAAGTTGTTTGGAGAGTTTTGGCTGTGTAGGTCTTTTTAGAATCGTGCTGTGTTGCATAACATTAATTGATTGATTGAATTGCATTGCTGATTTTGTTTGGTGTTGAAATTGCAACTTATATTTAAGGCTCCATTCATTAGGAAGGATATATGAAGGAAAGGAAACGAAATGTTTTAATCTAATGGTTGAGCTACAAAATAGCAGATGTATATATCTCAACCATTAGATTAGAATTTTCTCTTACCCCTTTCTTTCCTTCCTACCGTAAGTAGTGTTAAAGATTAAAGGCCCAGTCTCTAATATGGTTTGTCGGTTCATTACAGGTCAACAATGACAGGAGCAGAGATTATACAATCCCTAACCCTGCCATGGTTAACCAACAACCTTCGATTTTGGGGCAACAGTCAGTTCAAACAATGAGTCCAGCTTCTCATGAATACAATGGGACTCAATATGCTTCAGGTTTAGAGCAACCAATGATGCCTCCTCAACCTTCAGCTGGATGGGCCTCAGGTGTCCCGGCAGTGTCTCAATCCATCCCAGTACAGATGACTAATCATCCTTACATGCCACCAACCTCAATGCCTCAAATGACTCCTGGAATGATGCAGATGCCGGGCCACGGTGGCGTACCACCATCTGGCACAGTGCCTCACGGACCCAATCAGCTGTATTAGCATCTATCTGGGATAAATAAAAACTGAGTTGGGGTGGGGTGTCTCAGCTGCCACATGGTGGTTGCTCCCCACCTCAGTTTTTTTTTTTTTTTTTTGGGGGGGGGGGGGGTGGGTTTGTCATGGTAAGAGGATATTTTTGGTATGTGAAGAGAGGGAAGCGATGATAGGAGATAGGTCAGGGAGAGGCGGATTTTGTATGTTTGACCAAAGAGTATTAAACTTCGCAGTGCTTGAGTATATTAATTTTTTTTAGTGAATAGCACGAATGGTATTGAATTTTGGGTTAAATAATATTTTGATCTCAAATCATGGAAAGTTTTTATTAGCTCTAATTGTCAAAGTGTGTTCCTCGCTGTGGTCTTTTCGTCATTAAAATCATTTGCTCTGCCGTTATTAGCTGATTTAATGGGCATCATACATGGTACGAGCTGACTTCTCGATAAGGGTAATCGAAATGGGCGAGGATCCGAGTTTGGCTCAGTTGATGCCACACATATATTTAATTTTTTAGATAATTTAACGTTGGCTTTTAATTTATTATAATTGATTGATTATTTACTTAACAGTTTTTTTATTGTTTTTTATACTTAAAAATATATATTTTGTAATTAATTAGCTTTTTGACCTCATACATGGGATTTTTTATTAAATTTTTCATAATTTTAAATTTATTTTTTAATTATTGATCTAATACACAATCATACATATGTAAATACAAAGTTATAATTAAATGATAATTTATACATAATATATTATAAATAATATTGTTTCATTTAAAAAAAGTTTAAACTTTTATAAATTTTTAAGAATTATAAAAATCCTTTCTTTTTCATAAAAAATTTTTTTCTTCAATTCATTTGCTAAATACTAAAAATTTTGCTATCGCATTTTTTTTGTTTGATAAAAAATCAATAATCAATGTTTAAATACATAAAATTAATAATTGTTTTTATGATAATGTTTGCATGGGTATGTATATTTATATATGTATAAATATATATATTTGATTGAACAATAAATCACAATTGTTAATTTGATCATAATCATTTGCTTTTTATTAATTCTTATGTTTGACGTATTTCATATAATTATTATACAAATATATTGGACTAACAATTATATCTATATATATTAACAAAATAAAGTTATTTTATAGATAAAAGATAAACAATGATTCTTTATGTTATGCTTGAATTTTTTTTAATTTTTAATTTTTAATCATTTTTAACATAATTGATCATATTTTTTACGGATTAGATATGATAGTGATCATCATTCTTCTCATACAATCTATTACAGACAAAAAAATTCAATAATAAAAAGTATAGCAAAAAGAAATAAAGAATATAAATTTACATATTAATTTATCAATATTAAAGATATACAATAATAAAAGCAAGTATGTTAATAAATAAACAAAGAATAAAAACATTGAAGAAAAAAATAAATATATATAATACAAAAAGATAATACAATCAATCTAAGCAAAATTAAAAAAATTTATAGACTAAAGAGAAATAAATAAATTAACTAAATATATAATATAAAAATATTTGAATTAGAACATAAATAAAACATTATATTTGTTTTCAAAACAAAAATATATTTTTATCTAATTTTTTTATCAACATTCAAATGATTCATATTTTCATATAAAGATATAAGCTCTTATTATTTTAAAAATACATGCTTTATAGTTAATAATTTATTAACTTATCTAAAAATATTAATTTTAAATAATCTATTAAATAATTTTCAAATTTTGATATATTTTAATATGAATTTAAATAATTATCTAAAAATATTAAATTTAAATAATTTATTAAATAGAATTATTTAGCAAAAAATAAAATTTTATTAAGTATATATAATTGAAACTGTCATTAACTTTAAAATATATATAAATTTTGATTTAATATATTTAAATTTAAATTTTATTCAAAAATTTAATATCAGATACATTTAAATTTTAATTTAAATAATTATTCAAAATATTTAATTTAAATAATTTATTAAAAAATTTATTTGATAAATAAAATAATATAAGTGTTTTCCTATATATCGTTAAAAGAGATTATCAACTTATGTATTCATATAAATAATTTTTATCATATAATCTTGTATGATGTAATATATAGATTAAATTAAATGCGTAAATATAAATTATAACACGAAACAAACACTTGCTTAGCATATAACGAGAGAGTTGATTGACACAAACAGTGACTTAAAAATAGGAACTCAGTCGAGTGAGGTAAAAGAAAAAGTCATTGACGCAAACTAGTGAGAAGCCGGCGCCAATTTCAATCGAGATAAGGTTTCACTTAACTTGTCCGTTGGTGCCTCTAATCTCGTCTCCCAATCTCGTGGCTCTTAACTCTTTTCCTTTCCCTTCCTTTTTCTTTCCCTGAAGAAGGCAATCTTCTCCCGTTAGACCCTAAGCAATGACCGTATCACTCCAAGCTTCGCTTCTCTACAATCCTTATCCTTCTCTTCCTCTTCCTAAACTACCCTTTCACCGTTCTTCCATCTCTTCCAGTCCTCCTTCTCTTACCAAACTTTTTCGCCCCTCCTCGACTTTCTTATTTTCCCGATTTTATCCCCGTTATTTTTCAATCCCTTGCACATTGCACCCTGACAACGTTAACTCCGACTCCAAATTGGATTCTCGTCTTGATTATTCCAAAGCTTCAGTTTCGGATTTCGAAGGTCGGCCGGCCGTCGATGGATTTGAGAATGAGAACGAGGGAATTGAAGTGAATAACATCGACGGGGAAACTGAGAATGTGGTGGAGAGCGAGGGGCAGAATGATAAATTGGTGGGAAATGAAGGGCCTAAAAGCAAAATTCCTGCCATGGTGTTTTTGATGGGAGTTTGGGCCATGATAAAAAACGGAATGGAGAAATTGGTGGCTTTCGATTGGTTCAGTTGGTGGCCGTTTTGGCGTCAGGAGAAACGGCTTGACCGCCTGATTGCCGAAGCCGACGCCAATCCCAAAGACTTCGCTAAACAAAGCGCTTTGCTGGCTGAGCTTAATAAGCACAGGTTTTCTTCCAGTTCACTCTTGTTGATTAATTTCAAAACATTTTCTTTTAATCCCTCTTATCTTTGATTTTATTATTTTTAAAACAGTCCTGAGTCTGTAATTAAGCGATTTGAACAAAGGGATCATGCGGTTGACAGTAGAGGAGTTGCCGAATATCTTCGAGCTCTGGTAATCACTAATGCCATTGCTGAATATCTTCCAGATGAACAAGCTGGAAAGCCTTCTAGTCTTCCTACTCTGGTAAGAAGGCCCTACTTCGTCGCTTTGAATTTATATTTGCGTTTGATTTAACCTTTTCAATTACTTTAAAATTGTCAAACTATCTCTTTTGACATTTGATATCTGTTGGACCTGTGAATTGGTGGATAAGTACCTTTGCTATGTTTGAAAATAATTCTATATGAATGTTTCAATATCACCAAAAAGACTAAGAATATCTGATCCGTTAAAATTTAAATGTAGTTGGAAGAATTGAAAAGGCGTTCATCAGGGGACATGGATGAGCCCTTTTTAAGCCCTGGAATTTCTGAGAAGCAACCGTTGCATGTGGTGATGGTAAGGCTCTGCAGTTTACTGTTCTATGTGAGGAACAACATGTTTTATGCTGGTACATTCTTTTGGCTTAGTCTATACTCCTACTAGGATACATGAACTATCATAGCCTGTACACAACTTGCATTATTCTTCTCCCCCCCTCCCCTTAGAATCCCTTGTCAAATATTTTGATAGTGATGCTATTTTCTTTATTAGGTTGATCCTAAAGTTTCAAACAAATCACGATTTGCACAAGAGCTTGTTTCAACTATCTTGTTCACTGTTGCTGTTGGATTGGTTTGGTATGGATTCCCCCAATTGTAGTTATACTCTCTCTTCCTCTCTCAATCTCTCTACACTTTTTCATTGTTGAATCAGCAAGTCCTTGCTATTAACCTCCATATATTAATTTTATTAAACACAAAAGCTATTTCCAGGTTAATGGGTGCTGCTGCACTTCAGAAGTATGTAGGAAGCTTGGGTGGAATAGGAACTTCAGGTGTTGGATCAAGTTCCTCTTATGCCCCTAAAGATTTGAACAAAGAAGTGACGCCAGAGAAGGCAAGTATTCAATTCCTTTGGTTGCAGTCTAAATCAAGACTATGGCATTTAGTTGCTTTTGCAAGCTGCATTTCCATTTTCAATATGCATGGGTGGAATGATTAAGTAGATTATATTGGACTGGTTGAGTAAGATATGAAAACTTTGGGCAATGATTGAATAATTGAAAAGCATTCATGACTAAAGGGAAACTACTATAATTTGGTATTCTTCATCCTTCATTAGATAAATGATGATCAAGAGCCTGTTTTGCTGATGATGCAAGTGAAATGCAACTTTAGTCTTGTTATGGATGGGCCAGGGCCATTTATTGGAAATTTAATCGATAATCCTAAATCTTGTTTTCTTTTTTTCATTACTTACTTTATCTGCAGAATGTTAAAACATTTAAGGATGTCAAAGGCTGTGATGATGCAAAACAAGAGCTTGAGGAAGTAGTGGAGTACCTCAAAAACCCATCAAAGTTCACCCGCCTTGGGGGGAAATTGCCAAAGGTTTGTGCAAGATAATATGTTTTTGAAATAGGTCTCATTTTGTCTGTTTTACTCCATTTGTTGGACTTTTTTGTGGATCTCTAAATTTCAGATTTTCTCGAGGGCGTCTTATAAAATGCAATAGAATAGAAAAGATATCAATGGTGTCTATGCCAGGAGAACCAAATATATGAAGAAGTGGCCTGAAGTCCTGTCAGCTTAGTGTTAGCTCGGGTGGTGGGTGGGAAAGGGGATTGGCTAGAGATTCTAGGTTCTATCCTTCATGCTTTCCTTATAGGAGGGAGAAAATTTTAACAAATGATTTTGGGTTTCTCTTCCATTGTTTAGTACATAATGAGTGATTCTGCATATTTATGTGAATCATGAGTGCTGAAATTTGTATCCTAAGATTCATTCACTTCAGGAGTAAAAGGCTTTTTTGTGTTAATCTTCTGGTTGTATTAACCTATTCACAACTGAAATGCAGGGAATCCTTTTGACTGGAGCACCTGGAACTGGAAAAACTCTGCTGGCCAAGGTAGGGTTTTCCTTCTTTATTCTCACTTATGGTCACTTCCATATTTCAGAGAGTTTTTGCGCTTTACATCTGAACGTAATCACTATACTGGCTCTCCTTGCTGCTAATCGTTCAACAAGGTCCTTTGAAGCATGTTGCTTATTTGTGCACTCGTGTAGTGTAAAATATTGATAATTCGTGTATTCGTGTCATGTTTTACATGAAATTGCTAGTCATAATTCGTACTGACATGAAAATACAAAACATATTTTTTTGGCTCTGTTAAACCCATATATGGGTTTTGCTAAAATTTTAAACCATGTCATCTTTGTATCTTTTTTTATATTGTTTTCATATCGTGTTACCATGTCGTGTTTTAGATTGCAAAGTTACTTAACTTGTAATAATAGATTTGATTTGTTGAACCTTGAAGGCTATTGCTGGGGAAGCTGGGGTACCTTTCTTCTATAGAGCAGGATCTGAATTTGAGGAAATGTAAGCCACCCTCTCATTTCATCTTTGCTTGGCAACCTTCTATAGATTTCCATGTGCTTAATGTATGCTATATGGTTGGTTCTGGGGATTACTTGGTGTTATAGATGCCGAGTGTGACATTCTCGTTCTCTATGGCAGGTTTGTTGGTGTTGGTGCTCGGCGTGTGAGATCCCTTTTCCAAGCAGCTAAGAAAAAGGTTGATGTTCATAATTAATGGGTTCTGGGGATTGCTTTGCTTGCTTGATATCATGTCCATCATGAATTCTGACCATGTCATTCACAATATTTCATATTTTGTAGGCCCCTTGCATCATTTTCATTGATGAAATAGATGCTGTTGGATCCACACGAAAACAATGGGAAGGCCATACCAAAAAAACGCTACATCAGCTGCTTGTTGAAATGGATGGTTTTGAACAGAATGAGGTATATTAAATAAGTTTGCCATATCAATATTTCCTTTCTGCATTTCTGAGTTTGTTTAACCTCTGTCTATCTCATAGGGAATAATTCTGATGGCTGCAACAAATCTGCCTGACATTCTTGATCCAGCTTTGACAAGACCTGGTAGATTTGACAGGCATGTAAGTGCTCCAATCATTAGTGTTTTGTTGAGTCTTGGGTGTTTGGGACTTTATCTTCAAAGTTGTTCTTGGAGGTATCATTGATGACAAATGTAGTTGGTTCCTTAAGGCTTAATCAGAAACAGCTCCCCCTGCCATGCCTCTGAAGGTTTTTGCTTGTTGTCAGGAACTGTAATCCAGTTTGTGATTACTTAAGTCATTGAACTGTTCAGAATACAAAATTTCATTTCCCAACGACTAGCTATGTAATTTGTCTGTCGACTATAGTTATTCTTGTGGGATAGACACTTTTTTTTTTTTCATCTTCTTTTCTCTTTTAGAGTGAGAACTCATAAAGCCCATTTTTTAGATTGTTGTCCCTAATCCAGATGTAAGAGGTCGTCAAGAGATTTTGGAGCTCTACCTACAGGATAAACCTTTGTCTGATGACGTAGATGTTAAAGCAATTGCCCGTGGTACTCCTGGCTTCAATGGAGCAGGTAAGGTTTTGTGCATAAACTGAAACAAGTTTCTAGTTCATGCCAACAAATGTTTATATTTTCTTTAAACTTTTTCCCATTATTCTGTCAATTAGATCTAGCAAACTTGGTGAATATTGCTGCAATTAAAGCTGCAGTTGAGGGTGCTGACAAATTGACTGCAGCACAGTTGGAGCATGCTAAAGACAGGATACTCATGGGTACTGAGCGTAAAACAATGTTTTTATCAGAAGAGTCAAAGAAGGTATTGACAATTTTTATTATTGCTTCGGGGTAGAATTCAGGTTGCGGTTTGCTTGCATGAATTGAACCATTAACTCTGTAATCAATGCAAACAAAGATGTAAAAGGGCCCATTATGAGAACAACAAAGAATGCCAGAGTAAATTTTCCCAATTTAGGATATGCAGATAAATGTCCATAGCTGATGATTACTCCTGTTTAAACTTTGAAGTAACATAAATTGCCAATTGTTTACCAAAGTTCTTTTTTAGCTGCAACTAGGCAGTATTTTGGTTCCTATTCATGCACTGTATCAGGGTACAAATTAGGTCATTGGGTTTTCAAGATAAACTTTTTGTTATCCAAAATGGATCATCATTATTTGCTGACATTACCACACATAACTTCAGCTCACTGCTTATCATGAGAGTGGTCATGCAATTGTTGCTTTCAATACTGAGGGTGCACATCCAATCCACAAGGCAACAATCATACCCCGTGGATCTTCTCTGGGAATGGTTACTCAACTGCCTTCAAGTGATGAGACATCAATTAGTAAGAAGCAATTATTAGCTCGTCTTGATGTTTGTATGGGAGGAAGAGTTGCAGAAGAACTCATCTTTGGTCAGGACCACATCACAACTGGGGCAAGTAGTGATCTGTACACAGCTACAGAGCTTGCTCAATATATGGTATATTTCAAAGTGCTTTTTTCTTAATCTGTAATTCTCCATTTCTATATTTGTCTTTCCAGCTCATAGTAAATTATACATGGGATATCAATTAACCAAATACTGAGTAACATTGTACCTTAGGAGCAAAATGTGCTGGACTTATTTGTTCACTTAGAAAAACGCTCTCCCTTTTATTTAATTTCTCATTGCTTATGGCTTTCACTTCAATGCTAGGTATCGAATTGTGGGATGAGTGAAGCAATTGGACCAGTTCATATTAAAGAGCGAACAAGTTCAGAAATGCAGTCTCGCATTGATGCTGAAGTATGTTTCTGCAAGCTGGAGTTCTGATTAGTATAATTGTCTTTTCAATCTTAATTTGTTTTGTTTTTTTATCCAGGTGGTGAAACTTCTAAGAGAAGCATACGATCGTGTAAAAGCACTGTTAAAGAAGGTATATTCATGAAACCCCTTTGTTCGTAATTTTCTTATTGATAAGGAATAAGCAACCATATTTATAAAAAGGAATTACAATGAAACCTGAATGGTAGGATCCTAGCTTCTAAGATTTCAGGATTATGTATGAAGAAATACTTGTTTCTACAAGTTATTCATCCATGGGGTAATTTTTAAATAAGTTGCATCTTACCTGAGGTTTCAACTGCTAGTAGAAAGGTGAAAGAACTCGGGTAATCAAACTTCCGTTCTGCAAATTTTTTTTTTGTTGGTATTTAAGGCTGATAGGGATTCAACCTTGATCATTGGAACTAAGAATCTAGTATTTTACCAGCATATCATATTTTGCCGTTGGCGTACTGCAAATTCTCTAGTTCAACATTTTGTTTGAAAAATTTTCAGCATGAGAAGGCATTGCATGCATTAGCCAATGCACTTTTGGAGTATGAAACACTAAGTGCGGAAGAAATAAAGCGCATTCTTCTCCCACATCGGGAAGGAGGGTTGCCTGAGCAACAAGAACGACAGGAAGAGGGGGAGCTAATATTGGCTTAAAGCTATTACTCACATCTGTTGCTTAAATCTACTTGACTGTAGGGGAAGCTCTATACAGTGTATTTTAAGCACTACAGGTAATTATTTATATAATTTCTTGCAATTTTTTCCCCACCATTGTGATAAGACGTGTTATTGGAACTTTGATTAGACACGGAGGTACCAGGCATCCTTCAGACTCATCCCGGTTCCCTATGCCGCCCTAAGTCCTGAAACATCCGGGACCAGCACTCCAACATAGATCTTTGTACTATTTGTGAAATCATGTATTTTTTTAAACTTCACCCCATTCTGGGCAAAATTTTGTCTTTACATAAAAAGTCCTTCCCAACTTCTGTGAAACTGCATTTTTAGTACCAAAGTCTCTTTCTTCCCCGTCTGTGTTTGCACTTCTAACCCCTTGATGGGGAAGCATTTTTAATCCCCTGGAATGCACTTTTTTTAAGAGTTCAAATCTTATGGATTTGATTTTGTGAAAATTATTACGGAATCTAAATCTGATTTAATAACCAAAAAATTCAAATGAAATTCAAATTTATTAATAAAAATTAGATTTATCTAATTAAAATATTTAAAATAAAATATGTATTTATAATGTATTAAGATTTTATGATTGTTGTCAAATTACATCAAAGTTCCGGAAGACCTCCACAGTAATCTAGTCGAGGTGTTCTTTGGCCGTTTGAAGCTTTTACATGGATTGATTATTAGTACATTCTTAATTGTCAATATTAATATTAAAATATTTTTATAATAATAAATTTTATTTAAGCAGATTTAAATGAACGAGTTTAGCCAGCCCAAAAACACCTCTGTTGGTCATCAAAAGCCCAAACTTCAAGGGGATAATAATTTGTCCCCAAAAGACCAAGGCCCAGGTTTGGGGTACTTAAGCCTTAGGCCTAGCTCCGATGATAGCTTCGAAACGAGTGAGCACCACTTCAATTCATGGCTAAACCTTTCTATGCTTTCAAGTTCCAACGTGATGGTTAGCAATAGTCGTTCGACTATCACTATAAATATGCATTTTCCACCAAGACCCAACTTCCACCAAACCAGCAACTAGAAACTACCACTATCACGAGACAACAACCAAGAATCCAAAAACCAACTCTTTTGAGCTCCTTTATGTAAAGACAACCATTAAATACCACAATAACAAAACTCTGGATCAGCTTAACAACAACTAATCCCTTCTTTTTCCTTCCTTTTTCTTTTTTTTTTTTTCACTTTTTTTTCCATCTTTCAACAGAAGAAACTTTATAACAATTGTGGTTCTTGATCTACTCAAGACAGGAAATCCAGCATATAATGTTAAAGCAGGAGGGAACATTACAAATAGAAGGAATGCAACGTGAGTATATCTAGAAGATGGAAGAACCACAATTGCCAGTCCATCTCTAAAGCCTCCCAAGATACGAAAGCCTCCGAAGCTTCATCCATGGCAACTAGAGCCACCACCTTATCTCCTCAGCCCCAACTTTCAAAGATCAATGGGCTCGGTCCGGTCCTGCACCGCTAACCCCTCTGAGACATCTGTAAGTGATTTGAGATTGCACTTGATCAAAGCTTCAACAAAGTAGCATGTCTCATCCTTGGTGTTCCCCTCGGGCACATCCACCACAAAGGATTCAATGACTAGAGTACCAGGTCTTCCATCAATGATCTCTGGATGGAGGGAAATGATTGAAGAGTAGTTCTGGATAAAAATAAATTAAGGTCAAAGAGATCAGACGGCCCGGATCTTCATTTTACCACTATTACACTTAAAATTGAATCTTCATGACCTTAACTTTCACTGATGAACAGCTTGTGAAAAGACAATTCAGTGGTTTTTGTTGCAACTGATCCATCAATTAGTTATAATCTTTTGTACCAAGGCATTGAGGAAACTAAACTTAGATGCAGATTTAAATACCTGGATTTTCAACATAAAATATACTCGACCAAAATCTAGACAACATGTATGCATTCACAAACTTTAATGACTATCATACAATGGGCAACTATCTTATCCTGTGGAACATAAGGCAACAAACTGCAAGCAAATGCACTTAAATTGCTTTGTTCTTAAAATGAATGGATTTAAGATGAAAGATATAGATGATATTGAATGTTCAAGGAGGATGAATCATAAAAGATAGAGAATAACAAAGGTTAAATAGGAAAAAACCTTTAGTCTGTGATCCCCACCAATAATCCTGATGCTGAGGACATGCTCGTCATCATCAAGGAGTTCCAGTCTTTCAGTACTTGTAGTGGCTGGGAGCCCTGACTTGACATCAACTTCTCTAAGACTCCCAATTTCAAGGTTTCCCTGCACAACACACCTGCTGACAAAGGGTTTATACTTCTGTGGTTGGTCAAATCTCCTCACCAAAGACCAAACCTGTAAAAAGACAAACAATACAAATTTCAGAGAAAATTATGCATTTTCGGGAAAAAGAAAAAAAAAAGATTCGACCAAGTTGATAGATAACAAATTCACAAAAATATAAGAATCAAGCTCTACAATCGTGGAGGAATATATTGTTTCAGCATGATCTGAATATCCACTTAGTTATCTATCTTACCCCTTTTTCTGGCATATTCTTCCTCCAATGAACACATCTAAAATGCAAACCATTCATTTGGCATGCACGAAATGGAGAAAGAAAAGGAAAATCATTTTGGAGCATATACTTCACCACATTCCTATTTCTAGGAAATGAAATAAACAACAAGACAAGTTTCATTTAATTCAATCAAATCTTAACCCCGTTGTTCCTAAACAAAGAAACTAACTATACCGTGGAAATGAATTTATCCTGGAAAAACCTTTGGACAACTCAATCAATCAGAAACAACAAACTTGTTCAAATGGTTTCAGAGAGTAGTAAAGGGGTAGAAAATTTTTCGCAAAAAAAAATTGATAATAATAGTAATAATAATAATAATAATAATAATAATAAGGATCTCAAATTCAGGATTTAGCAATACAAAAACAAAAAAAAAATCAAAGAACCAAACAACTTTATCTAAGCTTAGAGTTGCTCCTTAGCATTAAAATCAATCAACATGGTCCCTGTTTTGCCCGCAAAAGATCAAAATTTGAATGTCAGATTTCAATATCTAACTCAGCAAATCAAAACATGCGAGAGTTTGTTTCATGTTAACAGTTTTCAATCATATTTCTCAACAACAAAATAGTGAAAGTCAAGAAAGCTTATATAAATTGTTATAGAAAATGTAAGAAATTAGAATCAATCTTCATTCTTTTGTTTTTGTGGAAGAATAACCAATAAATTGAATCAAAACAATCAAGATTTCAAGAACTAAAAAACATCAAGATAATCCTTCTCGAGAACAAAAGTCAAACATTGAAAAACTCACTCAGCAAGCATCCAAAATAATCAGAAAATGAAAATCATAGATCCATAAACCTGTCAAAGGAGAGGAAGGAATCTTGAGAAGACGAGTAGAAAATCAAATCCAAACAAAACGTAAACATAGAGAGAGAAAGAGAGAGTTACAAGAGGAACAGGAGCTTTGATGTGCTTAACGAGAGCTGAAGTACACTGATTCTCACATATCTCATGCCTATGATGTCTCCTTATATACTCAGTCGCCGCACTCCCAAATCCATTGTTGTCCCCATTCATTTCTCTTTTCTTCTTATCAATCCAAACACTCTCGCTTCTCTCTTTCGCAACAACAAATAACAAACAACAAAACACACACTCTACCTTGTCACGTCAGCCGGCGACCAGCGCTCCGATCACCGCAGGACTGATTCTCCGATGAAACTTCTGGAAATTGTTTTATCTGATTTATCTCAAGAGAAAGAAGAGGAAGTAAAGGCTATAAGTCACTGCCATCAAAAGAGAGAAGCTACCAGACTTCTTCCAACTCTAAGCCATGTATCACATCACCTGAGCAATGATAAAACTAAATATAAAACACGCAACAAATTATATAAACGCTTCAATTTTATTTTTAACATTTTTTTATTACAGGATCAGCTCTTCGGTTTGACATTGGGTTACTAATGTTATTACCGGAGTTGCCATCCGCTTTGTCTGCTTCTGCTTTTGTCTTTTCTATAATTTTTTAATTTTATTTATAAAATTTAAAATTTTACGAACAATATAATTTTATTTTTTTTGTGAAAATTATGCCGGCTCATTTATGTTCAACTGTCTCATTTATGTCTTGGTACTGCAATAAAATATATTACTAGATGCCATTTTTGACCTTTTTGTTGTATTTATTATTGCTTTCACACCTTTTGCAAATTTATCGTTGGAGCCTTGCACAAATGGTCATTTTATTTTAAGCTTTAATATTGATTTTTTTTGGTTAAGTTTAATCATTATTTAAATAAAAAATAAAATCTATCTATTTATCATCATCGTTAGATGAAACTTAACTATCCATTTTGAGTAAAATGGAATTTGAACAACTTTTAAGAATATTATATTTGAACATTTTGAGCTATTTAGGAAATGCCTATTCATTTTGAGTAAAAATAAAATTTGATCTTTAACTGTTTGATTTAATGATCAAAATAATTTTAAAAAAATATCAAGATCAAAGTTCGAACTTCAACTTTTTTTTCCTCTCTTAATGTAAGGTTATGTCCCTTGAATGACAAAAAAAAAAATTAAAATTTGAACTAATTTTAAAAATAATTTATTTGATTTTGTTTTGTTTTATTTTAAGATTGTTGGATTAGTTTCATTTATATTGGGCTCTACAATTAGCCTTATTTTTTTTCTTCTTTTAATTGTATAAATTTTTTATTCCGTGTATTTGTTATTATTTGATGAATTAGTTTAATTCTATTTGAAATTTATATCTCAATTTTTTTATAATTTGATATCTTTTTTTATATATTTTAAGATATTTGTTTGAAAATTATTTGTATTGATTGAATGCTAAAATAATTTTAATTTAATATCACTATAACTATTACACATATTTGTCATTTTTATTTATATTTTTTTCATAATTTTTTTACATTTTTTTGTTATAAAATTTAATTTACATTTACATGTTAATAACTCAATAATAAAAGCAAAAAAATAATTAAAATAATTGATTTATATAATTACATTTAAAAACTAAAGTCCAATAAATTTAAAATCAAATCTTAAGATTTACTATTTATTTTTTTAGCTATAACCTACTTTGTATAAAAAAAAATTTATGTCTTATTTTTTTAATATTTAATATTTTTATTTTTTAGACTTTAAAATTATTTTTTATAATTTTTTTACTTTTTGATATAAAAAAATTATGAAATTTTAATATTAAATACATTAAAAAAAATTTTCTTAAATTTCATTAAAATAAATATATAATAAACATTTTAAAAGGAAAGAATTAAAACATATGGAGTATATAAATGGAAACCATCAAATTGGAAATTGTTACCATCAAAACGCAATACAACTTGTTGATTTACAGACTTCTCGAATGTTCATTTATAAATAATAATAATAATAATAAATTAACATTTTTAACATTCAATAATCATCTAAAATTAAAATGCGGGACCTACATCAGGTCGGCAAGACCGTACTACAAATCTCTGGGCAAACGAAGCTACTTGAACCACGCTTCTCAGAGGAGTCGTGGAATTTCAATATCGGGTCGCGGCGGCCAGCATTTGCAAGATGGGGCTTTTTCGGGAAATTGTATGGTGTGAAATCACTCATCATCAACCGCGCAGACTTGGCTTAAATCCGCATATTTCTCAACAAAGATTCCAGAGTGCAACACGCGCTTTTCAAAAGAAAAAGTTTGCAACATTTTGTCCTTTTCTTCAAAAAAAAAAAAACCGAACTTTCATATCCCAAAGAAGCGTGCGTTGAAGGTCAGCCGCATGTGATGGAGTAGAAGGTTTCCAATCCTCGCAGGCGGCCGACAGTTAATTTCGTCTGTCAAAATAAATAATTTTATAAGGTACTTTTTTTTAGAATAATTTTCCTTCTTTTTCCCTTACATTAATTATGATTTGAGGGGCTCGTAAATGCAAAATTTTCTAGACCAATTTAATTTTGATGTCTTTTTTATACGATGGGTCTTTTAGTGGAGTGGATTATGGCATTGCAATTTCGTTATTTTGATGTTTAAACGAATATATTTCACTTAATCGTGTAATAATATTTAATAATTAGTGGCTAAAGTCTCGATTCAAGTCGCTAATCAACCTCTAATTTATTATTACTTGTACTATCTATGTTTCTTTTTCTTTAGTTTTGCCACTCAATCAATAAATTAATAGCATGAGCAGAAATCCATGTTTTCTTTGATTTTTTAATCCTTTGTGTCGGGCAATTGATAGCCAACGTCAGCTCTCAAATAAGCAGATTGACAGGGATTTTTCATGGCTTCGACTCATGGGTATTAATTTATCGATCGTATTGATTGGTTTATTTTAATTATATTAAAATATAATATATTTAAAGATAATTTTATATATCAAAATTGAAATAGAATAATATAAATTATTTTTATTAATTTTGAATGATTTTATTAAATTTTGATAGATTAATATGTTGATTAATATATTTCGATTAGTACATGAATATGAAATATATTTTATAATTTTTAATTTATTTTTTATTGTTTAACTATTTATAATTTACTAAAAATAAAATTAATTAATAAAATAATCTTTAAAACTTGAATTTTTTATATTTTATTTTTTCAAATCAAAATTCATAAATATTTAAATCTTTTTTTAAAAAAAGCAATTATGCTTCATTTATAAAATTTAACAATTATAAAACTAAGGTTAATTTTTTTCATCTCTTTATTTTTATTTTAATAGTTACATTAAAAAATATTTATTTAAATATCATATGATCAAGTTAAGTATTTAAAAATATTATAAAAACTTTATAATATTATTTTTTACACTTTTAAACTTATTTATTTGATTTTTAAAGATATTACATATTTATTTTATAGATTATTAATTGTATTATAGCATACAAGTTCATGCATGTTTATAAATATATTTGTACTAAATCAAAAAATCTAAAATAATATGTCAAAACAATTAATACCTATCATAACGTATAGATCCATGGATCTACCATTAGATATGGATTAAAAAAGTCACCGTCAATATTTTTTATTAAGATATGATTGGCCATCTGATTGGATCTGATCCACTAAACCAGATTTAGGTTCGGGAGTACAGTTGTGAGTGAGAAATGTTATAGTGTCATGAGCCGAGACTCAACCTCCAGACTCATGCTGCTCTAGGACCCGGGCATGCATTCATTCGACGTCTCAGATCAGCCTAACTGTCATAGTTCACACCTTTATGAGGTATTGTCTGTTCTGACCCTTTTTTGGCATCACGATTTTATCCTACAAAAGGTACCTTACAAGGAGAGGATGGTGTGAACCCATATATCCCAAAACTAACTTTAGTACACAGCTAGGATTCATGGCTCATCTCTAGGACTGTGACATCTTTTTTTACTTCAATGGAGGCCCACCGTCCTCGACGACATATCGTTTATACCCCCAAAGTTGGCTCTGATACCACTTGCCACGGGTCGAGACTTAACTTCTAGGTTCATGCGTCTTTAGGACCTAGGCATGTACTCATCTGGAGTCCTAAATCAACATAACTATCATGATTCACACCTTTGTAAGGTATTATTCGCTCTAATCCTTTCTTGTCCTCACAGTTTTATCCCACAAAAGACATCTCACAAGGAGAGGGTGGTCTCAATACCAACTCTAATACACAATCGATATGAAATTCATAGCTCATCTCTAGAACCATGACAATAGCACTCTCATAGTGTCAATCCAAATATGGTACTAGTTTGATTCCAAATTATTCAAACTTAAAAAAAATGTTTATATTTTTACCAAAATATTAAATATTAAAAACTAGTTTTAAAATTATCCCAATAGTTTGATAACAATTTAAGATAATTCTCTTACCTTATGAGTATTCATAGAGAGTAATATCCCACCCTGAAAAGACTCTATTATCGAATTTATTAATGTATTTTATTTAAAAAAATCAAAAAGTTTTCTAATAGTTTAGTAGGACTTAGCTTAAAGCAGATCTTCTAATAGTTTGGTGAGATTTTATTGTAAAAAAATATTCGCAAAATTTTTTTAAATTTTTTTAGAAAGTTTATTAAGTCTCCCAATAGTTTGACAAGACTTAATTTAAAAAATAATTCTCCAATCATTTGAAAGATAAAATTATTTTTTATTTTTTTAAAAATTTATTTATGAAATTTTTCAATAGTTTTGTGGATTTCATTTAAAATTTTTTGAAAAGATTATTTTATTTTTTTCAAAAAAATAATTTTTATAGAAAAGATTTTATTTTTTTTAATTTTTTGAAGAGAAATACTTTTTATTAAATATTTAATAAATAATAAATTATTCAATAGAAATTAAATAAAAAACAAGCAAAATAAATTAAATTAAATTAAAAAATTAAAATTAAAATAGAAAAAAAACCTGTGATCGGGATGAGTCGAACCATGGGTGGCATGCGGATCCCAGTTAGGTTACACGTGGATCTAGGCATTTTCAAAACAACATCATTTTAGAACCCTATAAAAACTAAATCCCATCATTTTTCTTTAAACGTCCACTGTTCTTTCTCTCTCTAACCCTAAAAAGCTTTGCCTTTTCTTTAAAATCCCGAGAGCAAGCCTAAAAAATTCAACCGAAAATTGAAAAAAATAATTGGTTTCTAGAAAAATGGTCTAAATTTGGTCGAAAAACTCAAACTTTACCAAAAAATTTAATCAAAAAATTCAAATATTCATAGAAAAATTCATCTCAACCCAGGATTTTTCCAAAAAAACCAAGAATTTTTTAGAAAAAATCCCAAAATTTGCAGACATTCCTAAATCCTTTCAGAAACTCTCCAAAACCTTAATCTTAACTCTAGGAACCCAAATC